AGAGGTTGCTGAAAACATTAGTATTTTGGATCAGAAGGATCATATTGTTTTAACTTCAGTACTAGCATCATGCTGGGTAGAACGTGTTCAGTTAATGTTTTGTAGAATGGAAAGAAAAAGGAATAATAAAATGGAAGAAAGTAAGGAAACTTGAAAAGTGCTAAATTATCATTCTGGGCTATAGACTTAGAAGGTAATAAAGATCTTGTAGAATCTCTACTGACATGATACTGAGTCATAGCCATTATTATGGGGGATAAAAAGCTTGGTAATCTGAGTTTTGGGACTGTTGAAAATTAATGAAATCATGCTCCAATGACTTTGAGTAAAATTGGTCGTTAATAACTCCAGGATGGGCCACGACATAGTACTATGAGTTAACTGTGTACCTTTTCTAAATTCCAGAGTCTCACCTAGGGGTTGATTTCTCTCCTAGAGAGCAAAGAAAGTGACATCAGCAGAAGATCACAACTTTTCATCTGAGACTGAGCCAACACATTGTCCTTGGTGGCTTCTGCCATCTCATGGGGAGTCCTATGGGGGCGGTTGGGGGATCACTGGCTGTGACCTGCAGCCGCACATGTGAACACTAACTTTCAGCAGTGGCTCCTTAGAAGGACAGTAATGTACATGCTTCTGCTTACAACTTAATTTTTAGGCTTCCTGGCAGAGCTTGTGGGAGTGATGCTCTGGTTTGCAAGGACTTAATGACTTCTTTTCGTCTAGCACCTGTAGGTATAGAGACAAGAGAGGAGGGTATTAGCACATGCCTGTGTCCCAGGTAGAGTGAGTACCATGGATTTGTGAAGGCACTATCTTTTCTTTCCAGAAAAAAAGTTCCTTATGTTATATGTATTTAATAGCTGTTACTTTGATATTAAGATTCAGTGTTCTTACTAAAAAATATTCAAAATTATATCCTTAAATTTAAAAAAGTCTGCTATTTACTACAGATTGTTTCATTCCCTCTCCCCTCCTTTGCGTATATTATGATGGGTTTAGTTAATCATAAATTAAACTTGAAAACAATTGTATTTCTAGAGTTCTGAGCAAATTTTCACTCCTTTAATATTTTTTTCTCATTGAATCAACATATTATTCACAGGAACTGATGATATCTTGAAAGCTAGCTGTCCCCATGGCTTTCCAACACCAATATGTGAGGTCCCAATTTCCTCTTAATCTTCGTATCTTCTTATTTCATGTGCAACTAAACTGTTTGAATAATTTAAATGATCAGATATGCAAGCATCACCCAGAAGTGTGAGGACTTCGAGTTTGAAATAGCTCAGTATTTCCAGAATAGGGTAAGAATAGCAGTGTGCCTAATTTTTACTCTTATCTCTTTTTGATATAGTTATAGTGCTAACAATAATAACAGTAGAACAGCAGCAATAACAATATAAATCTCAAGTCCCAGATTCCTTCTCATCCCGGGTTCTCACACAATTGGAAGTAGGGTGAGGGGAGCATTTAAATGAAAAACAGGTTCAAATTGCACAAAGGAAAGTCAAATAAATACGGTTGCAGTTTTAACACTGGTTCCAAAGAAATCATAGCTTATCAGGACAACAGAACAGAAAACAAAAAAGAAGCATACGTAGAGGAAATAAGAAAACAAGAAAACAATAGAAGATAGCAACCTTTAAGTCATAACAATTCTCACACTAAAAGACAAAGACTCAGACCATGTAAAGAAAAATGAAATTGCAAGTTAAAAATAGTTGAAAATGATATTAAAATGAAAGGAGAATTGAAAGCAAGAAGTATTAAATGATACAAAGGGGTCATTTCATGTGGAAAATGGTAGCTTAATCAATAAAAAATATGGAAGCCATATACCTTAACAGGTCACCAAAATATGTGAACTAAAAACTGTTATGAAATGATACAAGCACAGTTATAGTGGGAGATTTTAGCATGCATGCTGTCTTTGATAAATTAAATATATATATATGAACTTATGTGTGTATATACACATACATTATAATTTAAATGATTATATACAGGGATATATATGCAACATATAATTACACTATACTTTATATATATTTATGTTCTATATAGAGGTATCTCGATAGGTATATAATTTAATAATGCAATATATATTCTTTTGGTGTCCATGAAATTTTTATAAAAATTGAGCACATATGAAGTCCCCAAAGAACCTCAGTATAGTTCAGAAAATAGAAGTTATGCAGGCAGTATTCCCTGACCACATATTGATTAAAAATAGCAGGAATAAAATAAGATTTAAAATAAAGAAAAGGGATCGTTATAACCAACAGTGAGAAATTGAAATCAACTTTGATAGAAAACTTGAGTATAAACTGTCAATAAAAATGAAAGGTTAAGCATTAAGAAAGAGATAAAATTGGTGAGATTGAAAATAAAGATAAAAAATTAGACCAATGACATAAAGGCTTGAAAGCAGTAAACTTTTTAAAAAGATGAAGAAAATTAAAATAAAAAATCCAAACATAAATGTAAGATTCAAAATTGAAAACAGAATTTAAGAAGTGGAAGGGTAAAGTGAAATATACAAAATGTAAGTGTTAAGTGGGAAAATAAAAATATTATTGCACAGAATGAATACAAATAAACAGGTTTTGGAAGAGCTAAGCAAACAGGAAAAAATCCCCCAAAGAGGAAAAAAAATGAAACTTAATTGTGAAAATCTGCAGTCTCAAAATAGAAAAAAAATGTGACAAAGGGTGGAATAATGAAAAAGCAATAGAATCACAGAATCAAAGGAGACTAAAAAATTTAAGAGCAGACTTGTTTCTAGGAACCTGACAGACTGAGCTAACACAGATTCCTCTTTCAGCCACAAACAAGTAGAAATGTTGGACAAAATATGCCAAAATAACTTCTCAAAACATAGCCGAGCTCAAAAGACAGGAAGAGAAGCCTGCAGGTGCTAGAACAAAGAAGAAACACAGCAGAAGGTTGTGGAGGCTGGAACTCGGGGTTCCATGGCAAGTCTAGGTCCCTGGAGAGCAGGTTCTGTGGTGGAGAGGCGCATGCGGAAAACTGACTGGGGACACACCTGTTGTGGGGGGAGGGCTGCAGGATGGGGTGGGAGCAGAATGTGAACTGAGATGCTTAGCGGTGAAGTCCTCAGCTGAGTCTACAGGGTGCTTTAGAGTTGAGAAATTACCAGTCCAAAGACCTGACTTTAACCTCCACAGCAGAGTCATTCTACATGACCTGTCCCCAAAAGGTGGCATGACCCTAGGGGAGGACAGGTCCTTGAGAGACTCAGCTGGGAGCTGTCAGCCTGTAGCCAACATCCCCGGCATCTTGGGGAATGAGCGCTTCCATCCTGGGCCTAGGTGGCGGTTCTGGAGACACACGTGTAATTTTCTTTGATTACATGGATAACTTTTATTTCAATTTTTTAAAAGTTCATTTAGCTCCCTCTATGTAATTTTAACAATCTTGAATATTTTTTCTTTCCAACTTGTTGGGAAGATACAATGAAATGGTCCACTGTCCGCTCTTCAGTGGGTATACAAAGACACTTAACTAGATGCTACTTATGTATGAATATATTCATTTCAGTGTCATTTATATTCGTGGAAAAATTGAAAATGATCAGAATGCCCTTAAAATATGGGAATAATAAAATTACATTCAGTTATTAAAATTATGTTTTCAAGGAATGGGTGTTAAGATCTTAATGAATGTATTTACATTGCATAGATTGTGTGACTCTAATTTCCTAAAACATTTTTTATTTAAAATGTTATTCTAATTGCTAAGGCATAAAAAATATGAAAGGAAATAGATCAAAATAATGTCAGAGTTTGGTTCTATAATTTATAGACCTTTTAATGCCTTGTATTTTCCAAATTATCTAAGATCATGTATTACTTTGTAATCATAGAAAACAAAATGTTTATAAAATAAAGAAATACGCTGAGACTCCATTAATTTTCAAATATGTGTTTGATATGAAAACTCATCTGTGAGAGTGAAAGAGTATATTGAGAGCAGATTTTCAATATATTGTCAACATTTTTTTCAATCTTATTTTCAAGGGGAAGGAGGGAAAGAAGTAAGTGTGACTTACTTCTTGAGTGTGAATTAGTCCTTCTCTTAATTTGCTTGAAGTTTTTCCGGGAAGGTGAAAGTCCCCAGAATGTGTGTGTGTGTGTGTTTAACTTCTATCTTTTTGAGCCTTTCTCATGGATGCTTCAGTTACCCTCAAGTTAAGTTCTCTTTGCATATGATTCTCACAAGCCAGAGGGTCGGGGCTGAATGACCTTTTTTTAAGACTCCAATTTCACTAACCCTCAAGCAAGGCAGGAGTCCACAATTTCCCCTTGTACAGAACAAGAAGAAAATGATAAATTGTGTCATTCATTTTTGAATGAAGGAACATTTTATCTCTTAGAAGTTAATTTTGTTTCTTTGCTCATATTTTAGGAACCAGTCATTTAAAAAAATCTGACGAACCACACCTACTGAAACTACAGAGAGCCCCAGGTTAGATTCCATTGTTGTTTGTGTTTCTTTTCTTCCGTTCTCTGTCTCTTTTCCCTTTCCTCCTTTCCTCCCTTTCTCCTTTCTTTCTTTCAGACTGAATTCCAAACTCCCTTCTTCTAATTCTTGCTGTCTCCCATCACTCTTTCTCAAACCCCTTCCTCCTCCGTCATCTCCAGGTTGTTTTCTGCGTTTCACAGTGGATTTCCACGTGCTGGGGGGGCAGCGAGCAGGGAGTCTCACTGAGAACCATGGTTTTAGAAGCTTGTGTATTTGAGAGCCTGTGACATCTTCCCTGGCCTCAGAGATTTTAAATTGTTTCAAATCTATATTTTCTTTGTCTTTACTGCTTTTAAAGTTTCACATCCAACAACCACATTTCTAAGGCATGGCTTTTTAGAATTTGACAAAGCTGAATCCGTGGATTCAATTTCCATAAATCCCTTAAAGTCTTTAACCAACTTTTCTCATTTTGTAAACATGTCTAACAAAATCACAGGGGAAAACAGTGGTTCTTGACATCACAACAGTTTAATATGTTAACTTATTCATTAAATTGTGCTTCACATCAATGGAAATCCTCAGTTCTACAAACTATCATTTTTAAATAGCAATAAAGGTTGATAATCTCACAATACAATCTCCTAGTACCCGAGTTCATACATATTATTGCACAGAAACAAAAGGAAATACCTCTCAGGAGAAATAATTTACTATCTATTGGGTAACTATCTTTACATTTAAAATGGGACACCTGATAAAAGTCCAGTTTTCTTTCCAACATTTTTCATCTTTGATGTGTTCAATGAAAAATAATGCAAGCAAAACCCAGCAGGTGCTTCTGGGGGTGGGGGAAGAAGGAAGGAGAAGATGGCCATGATTAAAAAAAAATGACAGGTCTGTGGAAGACAAATGTGGCAATGACTACATCACACACACTCTGCTCTGTCCTACGCTGCTTTCCCCGGCAAGAACTGAGGTTTTTCAGCTCTGACATCTGGCCCTTCGACGAGTTCCCGGAGAGCAACAGCACGTGTAACTCACAGAGGTTCCACTCAGTGTGCCAAAGGATGACAGTCGCAGTCTTTCCCATAAACGGCTTAGAACACAAGCTCAAGAAACATCTGTGCTTCCGTGTTCTCAGATCCGTCATTCTGTTAGGTTGCCTCAAGCCCTTGTTTGGAAGTTCAGGGGCTTTTGTTTTGCAGATGTTGCTGGTGTGCACGGTGAGGCCAGTGCTTGGAAATCTCAGCACCTCTGCAGGGTAGGTTGGTCCTATCAGTGTGTTGTGACGATGGGTCCATGTGCATTCCATCCATTAGGCTACAAAACGCACAGGCCTCAGAGCCTGCCCACTGGCCCAGAGGGGCTACTTCAGAGTTCCAGGGCATTCGTTTGGCTGTGTCCAGGTGAATGTGGTTAAGTGAACAGCAGGCTATGTCCAGTAGGGATGGAAGGAGGGGGTTAGAAGGAAAGTTGGAAGTGCCTTGGAGAAAGAACCTTTGCAGGCTCCCCGGAGGCGGCCCAAATGGGCAGAGTCATCAGACTCAGCCAGCCTGATACGACCTGCAGACTTTCAGCTGGAGCTCTTGTGACCAGTAGAGGCACAAGGACTATGGAAAAGAAAAGCCTTAGAGACACAGCTGTGGTCAGATCAGAGTGTTCTTTGCCTAAGTCTGACCCAGCTTTCTCTTTGACCCAACCCCAGTTCAGTCCCTAAACCCATCCCAGCGCTCTGGTCCTGTCTCATGAGCTTCGTGCCTTTTCCTGCTCTTTTCAACGGCCAAAAGAATCACAGTCTGCTGTCTCCAGAGGGCCCTTGTTCTTGAGGACAGAAACTGTATGACTCACTCTTCTATTTTCAGTATTCCCTGGCACATATTTAATTCCTCATCTTTCCACCTTTGAAAGACCCGCTTCCATTTTAGAAGTCCTACTTTCCTCCATCGCTTCCCTTCCTCTCCCCGCCCCACCTCTGCAGGACCCCGTGACACGGGCACTGCTTCTCCCCTGGGGGTCAGGGTTGCAGAGGAATCAGATAAACCCTCTGTGTGGAGATGCTAGCCTATGACAACTTAGAGCAATTCCTCTCCCTGGCAAATGTAGAAAGGGATCCATTTAACACCAAATCAAACTTTTAAGAACCAAAGCAGTAAGTTGATGATAAAATTCCAGGGACCTGGGGAAGAAGTGGAGAAGGAAGGAATTTTTTTTTTGTAGCAGGGGTTCTATTAACCCCCCTTTTAAGCTCCTCTATTTAGGCTGCTACTGATTCTAAATATTTCCACCACTGAGCTGCCCTAAGGAATTGTGAAACAGTGTTTGGATTGGGTGGGGTGAACCTCCAAGCAGAGGTGTTTGAGTGCTTGTGTTTCCTGGACACTTCACTCCTAATAAGAGGCTCCCTTCCTGGAGGCAGGGAGTCCAGAATCAACTCTCCCTGTCTTCTTGGCATTTTCTAAGTCACTGCAGTTCCATGGGAAGGTAAGGGGAGATACACACCAATAAGGAATTAGATTTCATATTCTTGCAAATCCCAGTCCCAGTACTAATGATGGGCAATAAAAAGTAGTAGAAAGTATGAAGTCAAAAGACTGGGGCTCTGAGCAACTGTCTTGTTAATAAACTAGACTCTTTGGGAAATCTTTCAACATCTGAATCTCCGCATCAAACTATCGAATGGGATTAATGAATAGAGGTCCTATTTAACATACAAGAATGTAGCGAAGATCAGGTGAGACACTAGATGTAAAAATGTTTTGAAAAGCATTAAATCCTATACAAAGTTATGAATTTTCATTTTAGCCTTTGCAAAATAGATGACGAAATAGATGACATTGAAAAGCACTTGAAATATTTTTCAACTCCCTTTTGTGTCAAAGACTGATAGTTTTGATCTGTACTAATTTTCACATTGTTTCTTTAGTAATAGAACCCTTACATTTATCAAGGCACATGGCAACCAATAATGATGACATTTCCAGGCCTTCTCTGCAGCTAGATGTGTCTAGTGGCTAGGTTCTAGCCCATGAGATGTGACTGGAAGGGCTATGTGCAGCCTCCCTCCACTTCCTCTCGGGTGTCTTAGATGAAAATGAGATGGCAGGAACTGCAGCAGTCATCTTGGAGCATGAGATGGTAGCTGCATATTAGGACTGAAGAGCAAGGAGAGAGGTCCTGGGATTCTGGTAATGTCACATACCAGACCAGTGTGTCTTTTAAGTAGGAAGGCAATTGCTTCAGTCTTTTGAAGTCACTGTTGTTTCGAGTTGCTCTGTTGAAACAGCCTAATGGGAATCCTACCTAATGGACTTCATTTTTGAATGATCTTTGTTAACCTCCTTGCTTAGTCTGTGGAGTAGATCATCTTCCCCATATTCATATTATCTCTCGTCAGACTTTTGTACTCATATTTCAAACCTTTGATCAAACTATTTCTGACAAAGTGACCTCCTTTAGATGATAAGGAACAGATTTTTATAATTTTTAAATAACATATATGATATCCTTAACTGTTGCCTAACACTGATTGCTAATGTTATCAATGATTAGAAAGAGTATTCAAATACTGCTCAGGGCAGGTTTTTCTCTATTTTCCAAGAGCAGATTGCCAAAAAATTAAAAGGAAACATAATATATAGTATGTATCTTAGTCCTTAATAATAATTTGAACAGACAGACAGATACCTCATCTCAGTCTGGTTACTGGAGCTGCGACTGCCAAGAAAAGGAAAGGAAGGTCTACCTGGGAGTCGTAGGAGTAAACAGGATGTAGAATCCTTAGGGATTTAAAAATTGGGGGGGGGGGCTCTTCTTGGATTTCACACTAATGTATCTGCAACTGATTTGGCTTTGGGTATTAAGGCTACTGGCTTCCTGATCCTTAGGTCCAGATGCCTTCTGCTGACATCACTTCCCCAAACATCACTTGGCATGGAAGTGTGCAGTCAATTTTCAGAGAACAAACTGTACCCCCACCTCTTCATTTCTATCAACACAGGACCCCAGGGGATAGGACGAACGAGCTGCTTTAGAATGAAATGATACCAGGGCGGAAGCCCGTGTAGGTCTTTTTAATTTGCTCAGCACTGGCCTCAGGCCAATACCAAGAGATGGTTTCTTCTCTGAACATCCTGATGTCGGGTCTCAAGTGGAGCCCCATACATCACGCCTTCAGCAGCAAGGCTGCAGAAAGCCTTTTGATATAAATCCCGAGGTGCCCAAGGAACAGTGTGAAGTTAGCAGAGGCTGCCTCCAAGTCTCAGCTATGCATGAATTCCCTGCCAAAAATGTAAAGTGAGTTTAAAAGAAACAATCTGAACGCTTTCGAACTTGTTTTGATTTTCCACATGACAAAACACTGGATTGCTATTGTGCGTGCGTGTGTGTATGTGTGTGTGAGCGTGCGTGCGTGTTTCACAGTGGCAGGCAGAAAGATAATTTGCAGCCCTGCCATTCTAGGCAGCGTTAGATCCTACCGTCAAAACGAGAAGACAGAGAGAATTCCGCTCATTAATTCCAGCTGCAATCCTCCTTCCTTCTCTACCTCAGAAACAAATCGCCAGGAAGGGGAACACTGATGTTTTGTGAACCTAATCTCTACCAACTAAGAAGCAATGTTTACCTGGCCCCTTTAACTCACTCCGTATATGACTCAAAAATTACAACTGCCTATGAAGTCATCAATCTCTCAGCTCCTTGCTGGGTCAGTGATCTGGAGGAGGCTGGGCTGAGCCAGGGTAACATGGCTCTGGGTCCCTGCTCGCTCGGTGTTGTCACAGTTGTGTCACCCACGTGGTTAGAGACAAATCCTTCTGGGCAATAACAGGTGGCTTCTTGCATGATTGGCAGGAAGCGTTTATCCCATATGGAAAACATGATGGAGGAAAAAGAGCTTGCACTTTGCAGTCAGCCAGACCTAACTCACACCCCTGAGGAAGCTACTGAGTGTCTGCAGGTTTCACTTTCCTTATCTATGAAATTGGGGCTAACAATATCTACCTTTTTGTGAATAGATTTGAGGTATGAAAAGGGTCTCCCCAAGTTCCTGCCACAAAGAACGTCCCAGTAACGCCTTTCCTCCCGGGACAGCGGAAGCCAAGGGTAGTGTAAGAGTCATCTGAGCCTCTTCTCCAGATCTCTCTTTGATGGAGACACCAGGCTCCCCTCTGTACAGACAAGCACTCCACGAATGCTAGTGGGTTGATTAACTCTCAACCCCAGAGAGAGTATTCTGGAGGCTGAGACGTGGCTTATGTAAAGCTGGCTTAAACATCAAACATGCTGGATATCAATGAAATAGGCTTTTCAATCTGATTTACGGGTTTTACTCATTTTGCCTTCAGCTTCTCGAAGGGATTGATCAGATCAATCTGTTGTGAAACTTTCTACTCACTCTGATCTCCTACTAAATGCTTGGCAAGGGCTCTCTATCCCCCTCTACCGTACTTCTTCCTTTATTATTCAAAAACTTTTGTGTTACTGTAGCTGTGACTGGGAAATGGTGAGAGTAAGAAGCACTTGGCAACGCAGCACATTTTCTGGTTCTGTTTTATATGCTCTCTAGCCTGAGGTAGTGGCGGTGGCCACAGCCTGACAACAGGAGAGATCAAAAAAAGTTATCAGGCGAGAGATATTTAACATGTTGGGAGGTAGGGTCTTTCTAAGCACCCGGGATAACCACCCCGCTGTGTTCCATGTCTCATGGCCCCAATCAGACCTATTTTGGGGGGAGTGTAATCAGGTTTGTGTATTTATTTATTTATTTATTTATTTATTTATTTATTTATTTATTTATTTATTTATTAGATATACTGAGGCTGGAACCCAGGGCCTCATGCATGCTAGGCATGTGCTCTACTACTGAGCTATCCCCTTCCCCAGAGCTGTATTTTTATTTAGTGATCTTGACTATGGTTTGTATACATGCTGGCCAAACTCCTATTCTTCAGACCAAATTATTTTTAAACGTCTTTTCCTCTGTGATAGCAGAGTTTCAAACTTGGCATAACCGTATCAAAGAAGATGACTGTTCCAAAGAGGTAAAGCTCTGAAATAGTCCTCAGAAACTAAGGTTCTGTAGCCAGACTGGAAAGGTTAGGCATATAGTAATCCTCCTGCTTTTTTTCCTCTTGATTTATCATTCATTCCTTGCACTGAAAATAAAATGGTAAAGGCTGATTTCTCTAGGCATTCATTGATAAGGACGGTTTCTCCTGAATGTCCCTACCAATGTTAATTTCCCTGGGGCCACAGGCACCCCTGTCCTCAATCCAATAGCTGTTCCCTAAAAGATAGGGGAGAAGGCATGACTTAGAGCTAAGATGCATGGGATGTGAGTCTCCAGTGACGGCCAGTAGTAGGGTCATCTTGTTGAAAAACAACCTTAGCAACAAAACACGTTACACTACTTATGATTAAAACCACATTGAAATAGAGTTCAAAGATGAGAGCCAACGGCCAAGCAACAGCTGGCGTTAAACCTCATCTAAGGGCTGAAAAAGCCTTCTTTTCCTTTCTCTTTACACAGCAGTATCTCCATTACAGACACAGTACCAACAGACCAGTTTCAGCAGAACATCCAGGCCATAATTAGGCTTTTCATGTGTGCCCTGGTGGGTTCCAGCTGCCCAAACTCTAACCTATGCTGCTGCAAAAGAGATTCCAAGGACTCTTTTCTTTGTGCTGCGTCTCCCCTTGACCTTCTAAAGTGGTCTATTATTGAACACATTCTGACCCTACTTAACATCGCGGATTGAAAAGCGTCAGGGAAAAAAGAACAAGACGGATCATCTCCAGCTGGATAAAGGTGACGACAAAGAGGAAGCAGGTGTCCAAATCAAGCCACCTACAGCCAGATGTCCTCAGCTTGGGCCAGCATTCTCCAAGGTAGGCCAGTGCACCTGCTCGTCCTCCCCGTCCCGGGGGAGGAGAGGGCAGGGGGTCACCATCTCACCACCTGGCTGTTGTAGTCCTCCGTGACCGCCCCCTCTGGGTTCCCCTCCCGTTTGGGCCACCGGTGGCCGCGGTGCTCCCGCTGCAGCCTCCGCTCCTCCCGTCTCTTCTGCCGGTCCCTCTGGTGCTCTAGCTGCTTGGTGCGGTGGTAGCGCTGCTGGAAGAGGTCCTTCGCGTACTCGTACAGCTGCATGTCCAGGAAGTTCAGCTCCTCGATGCGCTGGCGGGCGCCCTCGTTGATTTCCACGTTGGAAGCCCGCGTGATGTTGAACTGCGTGAAGGGGGAGATGAACTTGAGGTTGAATGTCCTCTCAAAGAGAAACTGTGTCTTCCTCTGGAATTCCGTGAGCCCGAAGAAAGCCATGTTCTTCAGGTTGCTTTTGGCGCTCTGCAGCAGGATGGCGCTCCTCTCGCTCTCGTTCATGAAAGTCAAGTTGTAGCAGCCCACCAGGCTGAGGTCCGCCAGCATGCGCACCTGGCGGTTGTTGGCCAGGTTGTAGGTGCAGTCCATGAACTCCCGCAGGCTGACCCCGGACCAGTCGTCCCCAGGGTAGCAGGTCGGCAGCTCATCGGGGGTGGGGCTTCTCCCATCACACATGTGGAGGGAAGTTTTCCACGTGGCCCCTCTCTGGACGTGTTTCCACTCGCTCAGGTATCGAGACACTGGATCCCGCAACATGGTGATGTAATAGAAATTCCTGCAAGAAATTAGAGGAAGAGCGTCAGTCCTCAACAACGATAACTCTGGTTTATAAACCTCTGTAGGTTGATAACAGCACTGAACCAATGGGCTCTTCTGTCAAATGGTTACATGACAATGTTTGCCTGGGTTTGCACCTGTCATTCCCCTGTGTGCATGTTTCCATAAATTCTCATGAACTGGTTTTCAGGACCATTTGTTGGGCTTTTCCTTTCTGCTGCAATGTGGGGAGGGTTGGGGTGGAGGGGATAGATCCTCCTTTCATTCAGCAATTATTCATTGGTAAATTACTACCAGCATTAACAATACCTTACATTAAGAGCACCCACCATGATTATTGAAAGTTATTACCCATTCAATGGTTTATCTGATCCTTAAAATGAACTTCTGTGGTAGACCCGGGACTATTTGACAGGGAAATAGGCAAGGAGGTTAAAATGAGTTATCCAAAGTCATGGGACCAGAAAGAGCACAGCTGGAAGCCAAGGCGCCTTAATCTTTCTGTTTACTCTGGTATTCTGGGTTGCGAGGTGGGCGGGATTGGGGAAGGGTGTGTTGTGCGTGGAGACTAATATTTGCTGAGCACTGGAAACTCTGCTAGGCACTTTATGGATTCTGGCACAGATAACTCTCGACATAACTTTGTAAAATAGGTTGTATCATGACTTAAAAAAAAAAAAAGCTGAGAACACAAAAGCTAAGAAAGGTGAAAAATTCAGCCCAAGATCCTAGAGCAAGTTGCCGGTTGAACTGCAGTCGAATTTAGACCTATTTGATTTCAAAGCCTCTGTGCTTCCTTGGGCACTGTATTGATATTTTAAAAACAAAAATGTAACTACTATTTAGTGAATGCCTATTCATTGTCAGGTGCTGTGGCTATTATAGTCACAGGTCTCACCTCATCTAATGACCTCTAGTGTAAAGTTGGAAGAGATATATTTTATAAATGGTTAGCTTCAGAATGATCACGTGAAGGACAGGGTACCTCTAGCTTAGAAGGGCAAGAGAGGTGTGAAGAGGCCAGAAGAGATCCGGAAAAGTCAACAGATAAAGACATGGCACTAGCCATTAGAGGAAAGCAAATATTGATTCAAAGTAAGGACAGTGCTTCTCATCCTTTGAGCAGCTGTCCACCCCACCTCTGTCACCAGAAGTAACAGAGCTCCCCATGGGCAGACAAAAACGGTCCTGGAAAGTTCTGAAAAGAACACCAGGCTTTTCTTGACAACCTAAACTGGACTGAAAGATGCACAGCTAGTAAAAGCAATCACAAAAATAAGGAATTGAAAGGTACACTGTTTTTCATGCTGCTTTTAAAAAGAAATGGATGAACTCAAATATTTAAAACTGCATATTTACCGTATTCAATTATTTTTGAATGTCTAGCCGGACAGTTTGAAACGTGCTTGAGAAATTTCAAAATTTTATGTAACACTCGCTTCCCTTTAAATCAGGAGGAAAAAAGTACAGAAACCACCCCAGACAAGGCAGCCTGAGCTGTTGCTTTTCCAATCACCATTTCACATTGCTCTGTTGTCTTTCCCTGTGACAGGATGACAATTCCATCAGTAGAAGAAAATTTCCCAAAAGGTCAGTAGGAGAAACAGAAAATGACAGAGTTTCTGGGCTCCACATGGAAATGCTGACAGTAAAGTTTTTCTCAGAGTGGATATTACTATGGTTGAATATTATATGATACATCATTATTAATCCTGCTTTGGTCCTATGCTGAAGCTCATTTCAATTCTACAAGCAGAGACTGATTTTTATTGGACAAAACAATGGCATAATAAAGTATATAAACACAATGATGATGGTGGTAACTTAGGCGGGTTAAGGATAACAAACACGCCAGGACAGGGTACTCTAAATCAGAGAGATCTTTGATTGGTCAAATAAGACCGCAAAGGGGAAATTTATCATTTCCCTGTTAATTGGGCAAAAGTGAAAACACAAAAAAGGATTTAAACAAAAAAGATGATGACAATCAATCGATAAGGCTCAACCCCATTTATGTGTCTCAAATGTAGACACAGTCCAGATTCTTAAAATAATCAAAAGAGCTAGAGGATTTTAGGGCTGGGAATTACAATGGTTTGTAGTATGGAGTTTTCCTGGAACCTGCTGCTGGTATCTGAAGGCTTTTGTCTTACTTGGGAAAACTAATTGGCCATAGAGTTCCCAGTGCCTTCCTTCCACTGGAATTCACATGGTCTCAAAGCTGACTGAAACTGGCTTACACTGAAAATGGTCTTGGTTTCAAATTTAACTTTATTCAATGTAATGCTCCATTTAACAAAGACTAGCCAAATTTTAGGGTGATGTTTACATAAGTAAGATAAGTCCCAAATGTCTGCAATTTCTACTGGCTAAATAGGTCAGAGGTCCATTGGTAACTAAAGCTAACTCTGACATCAAGACACAAAAACATCCTGGTGCAATATTCTCTCTGAGGACGTACAAAGTTGTCCCATCTTATAGTTCTGGAACCAAGTGCCTAATAGCATTGAGGTCTTTCTTTCATCAGCCATATTCTCATATATGTTTCATTTGTTTGTCTGAATCCTGCAAAGCAGTCAAAACAGAAAGTTAGAATAATAGTAAAAATAAAACAGTAGTGTTGAAGAACACCTAACTATTGAAGAACAACACTTATAATTTGATTCATTAAGTCATTTTTTTCTCACCTCTATTTTTTCCCTCTACTTTCATTTGCTTCTCTCCTATCAGACGGAAGACTGCCAAAATTATTGATGAAATGATGCCTACCTCCAGGCCACACACCCAGTGTACAAGTTCACTCCAGGTTCAGGAATCTCTTCCCAGCTCCCAGACAACAGAAACCATCTTCTTCTGATCCCATAACTCTCAACTCAGTTTGTAAGGAAAATTCTCAAAACGGCTCAGTGCTACTGAAATCTGTAGCTTTCCTTCTCAAGCTTTATTAGTTCGACAGCACAACGGAGGGGCAACACAGAGACTGGAGAAGAAGGACAAGCAAAGGCCACTGTGGCCACATGCAGAGACCCTCGTCAACACCTGTGCCTTTTAACTCAGTCTCCTAAGCTGAGACAGAATCGCATCTGTTCAAATACCTGTCCTTGCGGTTAACTGAAACTCTCTCCAGACTTTGGAAACATAAATAAGCAAACTGTTATTTCCCCTTTTCATCCATCCATTCATTCACCTGTTAATTCTCCAAATATTAATCGAGCCCCCCGTATTGGCCAGATACTGAGGCTAGGCAGTGGGGACTCTGAGATCACCAAGACATTGTCCTCAAGGAGATCTCAGGCACCCACTGATTTTGGTAAAGTGGAAGAAATGCTAACCACCAAGTTAAGGGACTGTTCTGTCAGTCTCCCTGGACCAGCACAATCCCCAAGATAACTTTATGTCAATGACAGCATGCTGCCAGCAGGTCCTCCATTTGCGACCAGTTTCATTGAGAGTTTGGACTTACTCCTTTAAGAGTATCTGTAAAACAATTGCAGCTCGTTAGAATTGTGATTCTTGTGGCCCCAGGGTAATGATGGCAAAGACCTGTGTTCTCAGGAACAGTAGAGGACGGGGTGCCTTGGTTAGTTCAGTGATCATTTTAACTGATGATTATCATAGGGACCACCACGGCTTACTAAAGTGCAAAGACACAGAACACACACTTTTCAGTATCTTGCTTGGCTGTAAGGTGATCTTATTACAAAATTCTAAACCCAGCACAAGGACATGACTGCCTTCACTCAGCCTTTGCCTTTGCCTTTGCCTTTGCTCATTTGCATCCTACTCATCTTCCCTGGTCCGGCTCAAGCTTCGTCTCCATCTTCCCTGGGTTTACTGCATGACTTATACTGCACTTTTAACTGCACATGGAAGTCTTGGTCACATCTACCCTTTAAGTTCCTTTTTGATAACTGGACCTTGGGCTTCATGGCCCACAGTACCTCACACAAAGTCCTGCTCACTGCAGGTATTCAATAAATGATGCTATGGAAAAGAAATGACCTTCATAGGCAATAAATGTATTTTAATAACAAAGTTGAATATTGCCTTTGATAAATAGGCCTTTCTTTTCTCCCCTAAAAACCGATCTGAATTTTTTGATTGTCCAAAATGTGTAAAAAGAGTAAATAAGACATATAATCTTCTAATACATCCATCATTTGACTGTGATGGTTGATATGCAGAAAGAGGCAGTCAATGTAGACTTTGGGTAAAAAGCAGAATATTTCATACAACAGATAATTAATAGTAATGAGGCTTTCTTTTTAATGTTGTACTTAGTAGTTTTCTTCCCCACTGTTTCAAGAACCTGTATTTCACTAAGCAGTTTATTGTACAATTGCTCATTTCTTTCATTAGCTAGTCATTTAATTAACACATGCTTATTGAGGGTTTATTATGTGTAAGGAGCAGCTACAGGAAATGTGAAGAACAAAAACAACAAGAAAAGAATAAAATGTCCTCAAGTAGTGTAGGTGGAAGGGTGGTGGATTAGAAAAAGAGGCATTGATTAGCAAGTTATGGAGGTAAGGAGTAGACAGAGAAGATTTAAGAAGGTACAGAGAACAGAATGGCCTAACGGACCAGGAAGTTCATGTTGTGCATCTCACTACATGTTTGCTTGATAAAGGAATGAAAGACGTAAGTAGAACAGGATGCTGAGGCCAAATGGTCGTGGACTCTGAAGGCACTTGTAAATTGCAAACTTAGGAAAAATGTTGATTTGGGAAGATTCATGTAGCCACAGAGTTTAGGATGGATCAAAGTAGGCAGGGACCAGGGGAGACAATTGTGGTGACAGACCAGCAGCGAAGAACCCAGAAAACTGTGGGTGCTGATGAGAAAGAATCAGGGATGGATTCTGGAAATATCCTACCCCCAGCTGACATTGCTTCCTCCCCTTCCTCACTGTCAGCTTCCTCTGAACCACCCTTTCCTCCTCGGTATTCCCTTCTTCCCTTCCATCTAACCCTTCTCTTTCAATCTTGTGATGCAAAA